GAAAAACAAGGAAGAAATAGTTTTGTGATAGTGAACAGGAAAGAGTTGGAGGATGCTTGCTGGTGTGGAGCACAGTGAAATGTCAAGAGACATGATCCCTCCAATTCCCACAGTGGGCTCAGAGCTCAGGTGGCCAGTGGCAACTATGCAGGACTCTGTTAGGAGGGTTCTGGGGGTGGAAGCCAAACTATCACAACTGACTATGACAGTGGTCTGAAACCCGGAAGGGGAGATTGTTTCTTTGAATTGTTTTTCTAGCAGTATAGATGGTAGACTGTTTCATCTATGGTCAGTTACTCATGATGATGTAGGTGACCTGATTGTTTCAAAAGCAACTGTTTGGGTTTAAAAGATGCAAGCCTTGAACTTTAAAAAGAATGTTCTTCTTTTCATAGAAAACCTTGACTTGCCAGATAGAACCTTACTTTGATCTTTTAAGTAAATGAGAGATTTAGACTCAGTGAGGTAATTAGCTGCATTAACTGTAAACAAAGCAAATGTATAACTCCAGGCACAAGTTTCAAACAGCTCCCCCTTTGGTGTGCCCTCCCCTGTTTCTGTCTGTCTCTCTCCTGCTATTTCAATGTATGTAGGCGTGTGCAAGCCTCAGGAGGATTCACTGGCAACAAAACAATCAAGGGCAGGAAGGACTGAAAATCCTTCCACAGCTGAAGCTATGGTTCATTCTGTGCTAAGCTGGGAGGGTTCTGTACTGGCTCCGTCCAGAGCAAAGGAAACTATTTTAATTTAAAACAATTGTTGAAAACATCTCTCCCCTTCCTACCCTGAGAATAAGTTCCCTATAGAAACAGCTCTCTGGGCCGAAACTGTGAAATACGGCCTTCCAAGTGAGAAAGTCTAGCCAAAGAGCCCATTTTGAACGGCTAAGCCGAATTTCCATCTAAAGTGCAATTGATTCCCCCAGTTCTGATTCCGCTGCCAAGTTTCCTCAGCTGTTTTCGATTGTTATATATACTGAAATCACTGCTTAGCTTCTTGAACGTATTAGGTTCTTTTAAGTCCTTAAAACAACCATAGTATGTATGAAGACTCATAAAATTAGAATTGATGTCAGTTTTAAGTGGATTGAGGAACTGGCAAAGCCAGAGAGCCAGCCACGGCAGCCGCTCGTTGATGTCGCCCTCCGTCTAATAATCCTCTCCACAGTCACCGGACACATTTCCAAGATAATCGGAATTCATATATGCAGCACTAAAATGATTTCCATGTGTCAGTCCTCCAAAAAGAGAAAATACATTCTGTGGCAAGTTGTGTCTAGCACTGATTTTCTGTTTTTCACGTTGATTTGACCTAAAACACAATTTTAAAAAGGAATTTTAAAGCTTAGAAATAAAAAAGTGTAAGGTAAAAATAAGATAAATACAGAGAGGTTTGATATTATTTATCTTGTCTGTTTTTCTATTTTTGCCAACATTTTTCTGCCTACTATCCGTTTGTATGACATATAACTCTGAGAGTTGGCCCTTGACACACATAGGTGACATTTGACAGACTAGGAAGACTTCTTAGACAAATACCAGCCCAGAGTTTAAATGGAAATGGGCCAGTTAGCAAACAGATAATAAATAGAAACTGTGAGGGAGAGGGATCATGTCCTACCCCTGTTGGGAAAGAATTCATAATAAAACTATGCAAGGATTCATCTGAATCCTTCTTGCCAGTTGGGCCCAAAACTTGAAAAGGCCTTATTAATTAAAAAAAATTACATTTCCCTCTCAACAGCTAAGACTACTAGATAAAATAGTGTAATATTTTGAACATACTTATGCTAAAAATATTTATACTAAACTTACTTATAAAGTATGTTAAAATACTTATACTGAGGAGTAAATTTGATTGGATGGCCTATGTTCTATATTATTTATTTATTTATTTATTTATTTATTTATTTATTTATGTATTTATTTTGTGGGGGGCATAGGGCAGGCACACTATGGCACACATGTGGAAGTCAGAAGACATCTTAGGGGAATTAGGTCTTTCCTTCCACCTTGTAAATTCTAGGGATTGAACTCAGGTCGTCAGGCTTGGCAGCAAGCACCTTTATTTGTGGAGCCATCTTGCCTACCCAGATGTCCTATATTCTTATTTGCCTGCTCTGACAACCCTGTCATCCATCGTGAAAATGCAGTTTATATGGGCTTTTGCAACCTGGCCTCACCAGATTGGGATGGTCAGAAAAGACTCTCCAACCAGCTCCAGAGGAACTTCCCCTGCCAAATAACTGAACAATTGGGCTCTTTATCCAAAAACAGGTTAAGGAAGTTTAAATACCATAACCCAGCTGCTGGAATTGCCCTGGCTCAGCCAAAAGGGTTCAAGTTAGGCCAGCACACATGAAGGAACTGTGTATTTCCTAATCTGCCCCTGGGTCTACTGAGTGACACTCAGCCTGTGCAGTCACTCCCCTTCATTTCTTCCTATCCTCTGCTATCTAATAATTGCACATTTTTCTAGAGTAGATCTTGGGTGAAGGAGTAAAATAATGTAGATTGGCCTACTGCTTCCTTTTCCCAGCAGTGCACCCAAAATCAAAGACCACCACCTTCTTCACATCCTGCTGTACACCTGTGCGAATTTCTTCCAGGTCCCTGAGCTTTTAGTTCCTCTTCTGTTTGCCTTTTCATATTGAGATTGACCTAAGGGTACTTGAATTTGGCCCCTTTCCAAGAAGGCATCCAAGCAATTCAAGTGCTATATTAATTACTTTTCTTATTGCTGTGATAAAATACCAGAAAGAAGCAGCCTAAGAGCGGAAGGGTCATTTCGGCTCACACTTTGAAGGTGTATAATTCATCTTGGTGTGGAAGGCCTCTCATGGCAGAGGAGAGAGCATGTAGCTGGGAATCCTCACATCTCAGCATAACAGGACATAGAGACAGGACAGGAAGTGGGACTAGGCTGTAAATCTCAAGGCCCACCCCACCCCTGGGTATTTACTTCCTCCAGCTAGGCCCTCATCTCCCCAAAGTTCCACAACCTTTCAAGGCTGTGCTACCAGTTGGAGACCAAATGTTCAAACACAGCCCTTAGGGGACATTTTACGTGCCAACCATAACAGGTGCTAACTAAAATATCCCAGGCTCTCCCTCTACAAGCCTTGACAAGGGGCAGTCAAGACATTGAGTATCTCTTTACAGAGTGATATTTGATTCCTAGTGTCTGTTCAATCTCAAGTGCTTAGCATTCTTGTGTAGAGGAGGAAAATCTTTCTTCTTTACGATCTGTGATTCAGTATCTGGGCTTCAAAAATTAAACTGAAGTGCTGACTGTGTATATAGTATGGAGGTCTTCATTAGAAAGGAAGACCCAGGAAGCAGATAGATAAAAAGCTAAATCTACCAATCAATAAATGGGTTAATGAACTGAGCAGACAGTTCTCAAAAGAGGCAACACAATAGCCAATAAACATTTTAAAATTTATTTATTTTTACTTTATATGTATGAGTGTATTCCCTGAGTGTATTTAAGTGCACCTGTGTTGTGCAATGCCCGAGGAGGTCAGAAGAGGGCATTGGATCACCTGGAACTGGAGTTATGGACAATTGTTAGCCACCATGTAGGTGCTAGGAATCAAACCCATGTACTCTGCAAGAGCAGCCAATGCTCTTGACCGCTGAGTCCCCAATAAACATTTTTCAATTACATTCTTATTCTGTGTGTGTGTAGCATGGTACACACATGTGGAGGTCAGAGGACAACTTGCAGGAGTCGGTTCTCTCCTACTATGTGGATTCCTGAAATTGAACTTGGGTCATCAGGCTTGTTGGCAGGTGCTTTTACTTACTGAGCCATCTCCCCAGTCCCAAATAAACATTTTAAAGAGCATTTAACATCTTTAGTGGTCAGGGAAATGCAAATTAAAACGATCTTGAGATTCTGTTTCACCCCAGTCTGAATGGCTAACATCACAAAAACAATTGATAACAAATACTGGTGAGGATGTGGGGAAAGAGGAACTCGTGTATACTGCTGTTGGACATATGAACTGGAGCATCCACTATGGAGATTCCTCAAAAAAATTAAAAATATAACTTCCACATGACCCAGTCACCCCACTCCTGGGTATATACCCAAAGGACTGTAAATCTTACCATGGAGATACTTGCACAACCATGTTTATTATTGCACTATAACAAGGAAATGAAATCAGCCTCGATGTCCATCAACACATGGGGAATGAAAATGTGGTTCATATATATGATATAATTCTATTCAATCATAAAGGAAAATGAAATGACATTTGCAGGAATGTGAATGGAACAAGAAATTATGTTAAAGTATCCTAAACTCAAAAGGACATACACTGCATGTTTTCGCTCATGTACAAATGCTAGATTTTAATTTTTGTATATGTATATGTGTATGTGGGTTATATGCCATTAAACTAGAAGAGGGGCAGTGAGATGGAAAAGGAGGGAGGAGTGAAGAGAATGGTGAAAGTCAGTAATAGAATACATGTGTCATGAAAGCCAAAGGGGGCAAATCAGGGTGGGAGAGGGGAGTGGAGGAGAAAAAGGTGTGCGATCCCCTGGAACTGGCATTAAGGACTGGTGTTAGCTGCCATGTGAATGGTAGGAATTGAATCAGGTCCTCTGAAAGAGCAGTAAGTGTTCTTAACTGCTGCGCCATCTCTCCAGTCTCTAGTAGAGTACTTTTGAATGCATTGCCTCATTGCTGCTTATAATTATGTGGAGTAATGCTGTTAATTATATAGCTCTCCTTTGATTTGTGAGGCACAGGAGAAGAATGAACAGCAGCAAGTCGAACTCAAGTTTAATTCTTCTGGTTTCAGAGCATGCCCCTCTTATGCTGTGGGGTACCTGACCATACCAGAATCACTAGGTGTCCAGAGGTTTCAGGCCTCTATCTTTGTTGAGGCCCCAGGACTTACCAAAGCACAGGGTAGAGTGTCCCATCTTGTTTGCTGGGCCCCAGTGCAGTCTCTGCTGTTTCCTGATTGTCAATCTTGATTTCAGCTTCTTGATACTTACTTTGAAGCCTACCAGCACACTCTAGACCCTGAAGAGAGATTCACCTTAGCACAAGTGATGACTGACATTATGCATCGGCGCCCCAAATTTGATCTCGGCCACTCCTATTTCATTAAAGCCTACCAAGACGAATGCACCTGTCTGAGGCTTCACCTACTGCTAGTAAAGGGCATCTTCAGCCATCATGTGAGTAGGGCTTTAAATAGTACAAATGAGGAAGGGATGGAAAACAAGCCAGAAATGAAAGTAGTGTTCTTTCATTGCAGGTCCAGAATCTGGGTTTTCTGGGCAGAATGTTTATTTGTAAGCTCATTTGCATTTCTGAATTCCAAGCATAACTCTGGTCTTAAAGGAAGGTTTCTAACCATAATTACAGTTAATGATCTACAAGGAATTGAGAGCCTCGGTTTTTTATGAGATACAAAGTTATAAGCAATGAAAGGAAAACTAATGATGCATCTTTCCAGGACAATGATGTATGAAGTTATGAATATTTTCTATTTAGTGAGGTGGGTTTTCTTTGTTTTTGAGACAGGAGCTCACCCTGTATGTAGCCTAAGCTTGCCTTGAAATCCTAGCAATCCTGCCTCAGCCTGCCTCAGCCTGCCTCATTGCTGCCTTGGTGCTGGGATCAGAGCCATGTACCACCATATCTGGCTTTTGCTTTATTTTATTATTTTATTTTTGAGAGAGGGTCTTATACTGTAGCCCTGGCTGGCTGGAATTCACTATGCAGCCAAAGTGGAACGGTTCTCCTCTCTCATACTCTCAAGTGTTAAGATTATAGACAAGCAGAATCATGCCAAGCTTAGTGAATTATTTTACAAAAACTTTTCTTTTGCCTCTTAAAATTGGTTGCCTTTGCTCTCCTTGGCTGACTGTTGGCACAGATTGAGGTCAGCATGTCTGGTTGCAAACAAGTCTTCAAAACCATGCCTGTGTGAAAATTGGTGAAATGCTGTATCTTTCTCATGCCACGGCCCTTAGCTCGGGTCCATGGGAAAACAGAACTCTTCTCAGTTGAGAGCTTTCTCTTTTAGCTGGAGCAGCAGCGGGAGTACGTCCAGAGGCTCTGGCGAGGACATCACGCAGATGATAGCGAGACATTCGGACTTCCCCTGAATGTAATCACTAAGCAACCTGTTTCCATCAACAACAGCTGGTAAGTCAGCATTTCTTTAGGCATTTTACATTTAGTCCTCTAGAGTGATTAAGGGTACAATGTTGGATCAAAACACTCATCTATAAAGCACCATTCAAGGGTTTGGGGAGATGAGAGACAAGTATAAAAGCCATAGGAGATGGATTCCATCAAATATTGAATCTCTATTTGCCTTGTAAATAATAAAGAAAGGCGGCTAGAATGTAAGCATGTGGCAATGGGTGCAGAATCATCACTTCCTTAGAAAGTTATGGGGAAGAAAGAAGCTGTTCTTGAAATACACACAAGCCCACCTACCTGAAACCTGTATGTGCTTAAAAGTTTTTCAAAAAGTACTTTCTTCCTTCTTGCTGTGTCACTGAAGACGTTTCTGAGGGTTTCTCTCAGATGAGTCTGTGGCCGTCATCCTCTTAAAGAGCAGCATTCAATTTGCTGACCGCTCAGAATGCATACACTTTTTGTCACATCCCCCTGCAACATGACTACTTCCCTCCTCGCACCCTTTGAAGTTAAAGGGAACTGTGAAGTAGTGACAAGCCCCATGTTGATCTGGATAGCCCTAGATCAACAGCTCCCTACTGCCTCTGAATGGCTGGAGAAACTGTCTACCTTCTGTCAACACCCAACACATACTTGTGAGGACACACACGGGTGTGAACACAGACATGGCCTTAGGGTTCCATGAAGTATGTGGTAAAAACAGCCTTTATGCAAGAAGTCCAGAAGTCAAGTCGTTGTCATCATAGGGTACAGGATCATTACAGGGACCAGAAGATACTATGAGAGATGATAACCGAGAGTCTAACTTTCCTTTTAAAGAAAGAGTCCTACGAATTCCAGACACAAAACTGCACTTTCCCCATAGACCTTTCTCAGTATTTATTCCTTCACTGTAGTGAACTTGAAACATCAGCTGGGTGTACATCTTGCTGCTGTAAGAATCTGCTGGTCAGGAAATGGGTTTTGGCAGATCAGGCTAAGGCTAGAATGGACTCTAAAAGCTGTTAGAATAGTCTCCAAAGCCAATGTCATTTGCTTGAAGAGATTCTTTTCCAGACTTTGAACTATGGGTTTGGTTTTTTTTTGTTTTTTTTTTTTTTTTGGTTTTTTTTGGAAAGGGTTCCTTTAGCCCCCCAGCTGACCTGGAACTCGCTATGTAGAACAGGCTGGCCTCGAACTCACTGAGATCCACCTGCCTCTGCCTCCTAAGTGCTGGGACTAAAGGTGTGCGCTGCCACACTGGGTTTTCCACCTTATCTTTTGAGTCAGGGATTCTCACTGAACTTAGAGCCTACCAGTTGACTAGCTGGCCAGCCAGTGAGCTCTGAGGATCTTTTTTGGTCTTTTTGAGACAGGGTCTCCCTGTAGCCCCAGCTGTCCTGGAACTCACTATGTAGACCAGGTTGGCCTTGAACTCACAAAGATCCGCCTGCCTCTGCCTCCCAAGTGCTGGGATTAAAGGCGTGTGCCACCACGCCCAGCTGAACTGTGTGTTTTTAAGATCTAGGACTAAGCAGAAACCATTTATATAGATTTGAATGGAAATATCTATGTTCTTCAATTTATGCTCTTCATTTCTAAGCATAGGAAGATCCTTGACTTTTGTTCTGTATCCTTTATTTCCAAAGGAATAATCCACAGGTGTTTATTGGCTCTGGCCTCATCTATTTATTTTAAAATACAATAACTATCCTTACAGTACATATGAATGATTCTAGCAATGTGCAGAGAACTTAAAAGTTCTTTGTCCATTAACATTTTGGGGAGAAAAGGGATAAAAATTCATGCAAAAAATAAATGCTAAGAACTATAGATCCTTGGCTGAAGGTCAACTGATTACAGATGTCAATTCCACCCACAAAATGCCTTCACAGCAACATGGAGCAGACCGTTTGACCACACAATTGGGCATTGCATCATGGCCATGATGACACATAATATTAGAGCAGAGCACTTGCTAATATGGGACCCATTTCCATGGTTGGAAAATGGACGGGATTGGCCTTCATCTTTGAACTTCTCCTCTATGAATAGGAACAATAGATCAAGTGTATGCTGAAGGCGTGTGGGAAAGAACGATAGATTAACTGTGTGCCAAGGGACTGTGAGAAAGAGCCCAGGAATATATGAAGGCAATTTCCAAAGCTGGCAAGATAGCTCAGAGCATAAAGGCATCACCACATGAGCCTGACAACCCGAGTTCAATCCCTCAAACCCATGGTGGAAGGAGAGAACCAACTCCTGAAAATTGCCCTCTGACCACCACATGTGTGTCTTGGTACATGCGCACCCCTCTGCTGCCAACATATCACACATACATACAAACACACACACAATAATAATAAATAAAATAAAAATTTAGAAAAATGATAAAAAAGAATTATATATTTACTTTTCCTTATTTAATAATGTCTTTAAAAGTTATTTTGTTTTCAGACTAGATATTGATTATTGAAATATTGACAGTGTTGCTATATCCAATCTTAATCTTGCTGGTTAATTGGAATATATGTCAACTTCTTTCTTTTTTAAAGGGTTCATGTTAAAAACAAAGAGCAAATTGTATAACCTGGTCAGTTCCCTGGGTGGCCTCTGAGGTTCCTCTGAGCTCCCCATTCTTTATAATGCTCTGAGCCTATAAAAACTGCATTATTATTGTTGTTGTTATTATTTTGATCTTTTGAGACAGGGTTTTCCTGTAGCCCCAGTTGGCCTGAAACTCACTATGTAGACCAGGCTGGCCTTGATCTTACAGAGATCTACCTATCTCTGCCTCCCAAGTGCTGGGATTAAAGATTTGTGCCACCATACCTGGCTGAAACTATTATTGATTTAAAAATATAAATTCAAAGGGCTGAAGAGCTGGCTCAGCACTGAAGAGCACTCGCTGCTCTTCCAGTGGACCTGGGTTCAGTTCCCAGCACCCACATGACAGCTAACAAACTGTCCTAACTCCAGGTTCAAGGAATCCAACATCCTCTTCTGGACTCTGCCAGCATTGCACAACGTGGGTGCGCTTACGTACATGTAGAGGATACACTTATATAGATAAAATAAAATATTAAAATTTTAAAAAGCAAAAAATGCAAATATCTTCTGAAATGGATGTTCTCGTTGTATAAAATAATCATTCATTTCTTCTCTTCTTCAAGCCCAGCTGCAGAGAATGTTCATCTGCTGGAATTTCACCCTTCCCTGGGTCTGGTTGGGCTCATCCCCAAAGCCCTTGAGCACCTGCTGCGTGAGGCCCACCTCACCCACAAGCCGGTATCAGCCAGTGGCCTTGTCCTGCTGGAGCGACACATCTTGCAGCTAGCCCTGGACCTATGGCTCACCCCAACCAAGGCTGAGGCCTGGTACAGTGCACATCTGCAGAAAGATGTGGGTTCCTTGTGAAGGGGACAGTTGGGTCCTTGGCAAAGAGAACATTTATTTCCAGATGTTACTATTTAGCTATGTTTTTTATTTGGCTCTATTCCCCCTCCTTTTGGCCGGAAATGGAGCATATCATAGGGCTTGCCAGTATTTTTATGTGATTTTTGTTTTGGAAAAAGTTTCTAGCTAGCTTATAAGGATCAAAGAAATTAAAATTAATGGAGGATTGTATAGGTATCATAGGTATGTGAAAAATATTTTCTCATTTCTCATTGGCATTATAGTAATACACAGTACACTTGTGTTTTGAGGAGAAGCCGATGGAGGTAAGCTGGAAGACCTGTAATGCCCAATGGTTAAGCTGTGCTTGATGATTTATATGATGTCTATAATTGTATTTCAATCATTTTCTTTTTCTGTTAAGGCTATTAATGCTGAACTTGGGTTTCCAATTTGATCTTGTTCTATGAGGACTTGCAACATAATGGAGGCTATTTCAAGGGTGGTACTAGCTACCTGGACATCTGTTCCTTGGGTTGTCTTGGTGTCTTCCTATTTCCCACCCAAACTAAAATCACTTTTAAAAAATACTTATTTTTAGCCAGGCAGAGTGACACATGCCTTTAATTCCAGCACTTAGGAGACAGAGGCAGGTGGATCTCTGTGAGATCAAGGCCAACCTGGTCTACATAGCAAGTTCCAGGCCAGCTGGGGCTACAGAAAAACTTTGTCTCAAAAAACAAAAACAAAAACATACAACAAAATGAAAAGGGAGCCTGGCACGGCGATGCACACTTATAATTCCAGCACTTGGGAAGCAGAGCAGGAGAATCTTTGTGAGATGGAGGCCAGCCTGGTCTCTATTAGTAAGATCCAGGCCAGCTGGGACTCAGGGAGACTCAAAATTTAAAAATTAAATTTTTATTATTTTATTTATTTGGTATGTGTGTGCATGTGTACATGAGTGTGTGTGTGTGTGTGTGTGTGTGTGTGTGTGTATACATGTATGCCATATGGGTACCCTCAGAGACCAGAAGAAGGCATTGAATTCTTTGGAACTGGAGTTACAAGTGATTGTGAACTACCTGATGTAGGTGCTGGGAACCAAATTCAGGTCCTCTTGAAGAGGAGCCAGTGCTCTTAACTGCTAAGCCATCTTTCCAACACAAGATAATTAATTTATTAATTTATTTTATATTATTAACATAATATAAAATCACAGAGTATTTCGCAGAAGAGGAAAGGACAAATTCTAATCTAAAACTACTCAAAAGCTGACCCTAGTCATACAGGCCTATAATCCCTACTACATGCATGGCTGGGGTAAGAGGGTCACAAACGCTGCTTAGGCCACATAGAGAGTTCTGAGCCAGTGTGAACTATATAGCAAGATCTTGTCTCAAAAACATAAAAAATTTAAATATAAATAAGATACATTTTTTAAAAGGTAAAAGAAAGCTGGGCATGTTGGCCTCCATTTTTAATCCCAGCACTCAGGAGGCAGAGGCGGGTGATCTCTGAAATTGAGGTCAGCCTGGTCTACATAATGAGTTCTGGGTCAGCTGAAGCTACAGGGAGACCCTGTCTCAAAAAATAAATAAATAATTAGACAGAAAAGGTAAAAAGAGATCTAAGTATACAACATATATAGCTCAGTGGTAGAGTGCGATCTTAACATGCAGGAGACGCAAGGTTCAAACCCAAGTACAAAGTACAAAAATAATAAATACATAAACCCATTCATGACTATTATTTTCCTGAATTCAAGTATTCTTCATATGCATAGGATATAATGATATCCTTCATACATTCTTTTTTAAAATTTTATTTATCTTTTTTTAAATTTTATGCATATGCGTGTATTGCCTGCATGTAGGTAAGTGCACCCGTGTCGTATATTAGAGACCCAGTTCTGCTGTAGAGTACGTGCAGTGCTAGTATTTGAGGACATATGTGTGAGCTAATCCAGACACATACAAGAACAGTGGCATTGTGCTCTTAATTAATTTCCTTACTATTTTTGGAGATGATTCTTGAAGATATTTTGTAGCTATATTTTTGTAGTTTTTTTGTTTTTTCCTTTTGTTGATTTATCTGAACAAATAATTTCATGCCTATCCACAGATGTTTTATATCTGTGTTGTTTTATTCTAATTTTAAGGGGTTGGTTTAACTTTTAAAACACTTAACTCCGTTACTATTTCACTCGCATTTAGTGTGTATGATGTATGAGGTATGAATCGAAACTGAAGTTTTGTCCAAGTTACAATGCTGTTTATTCTATTTTCATTTTATATTCTTCTCACATTCTCTTATGGTGCCTGGTTAGAGATCTATTTAAGTTGCCTTGTGAATTATAATGAATATATAAGATACATGTCTAGTCTTCTGTTGATGCCACAGTTTTTTTCTCCAGGTCCACCTCACTTCCTCACCCCTCCCAACTTCATGTCCCCTTTATTTTTCTTCCTTAAAATAACACAGCAAGTCTGATATGTACTGCCCATATACTCATGAGTGTAGGGCCATCCACTGAAGCATTATCAGCTTACCAGGGACCACACCCTTAATGAACACTGACTCTCCCCTCAGAAACCATCAACTGTCAATAGCTCCTCAGTTACGGGTGGAGGCACATGAACCCTTACCATCTCCATGCTAGAATGTTGACTGGTTTGATCTCTTTCAGGTCTTGTGCAGGCAACCACAGCTGCCATGAGTTCCTGAGTACAGTGGTCTCTTCATGTCCAGAAGATACTGTTTTACTCTAGTCCTCCCTGACCTCTGGCTATTACACTCTTTCCACCCTTCCTTCCAAAATGGTCCCTGAGCCTTGTGGGGAGGAATGTAATATAGACGTCCCATTTGCAGCTGAGCATTCCACACTTATTCTCTGGACTTTGATGAACTGTAAATTGCCATTTGCTGCACCAAGAAACTTCTCTGATAAGGTCTGAGAGCTGCATTAATATATGGGTAGAGAGATACAAATTTAGAAGGCAGTTTGATACTGTGTCCACTTAGTAAAGTAACAGTAGTAGGTTCAATCCTGGGGCCTTTGAGCTTCCGAACCATGGGTTCTTGGCCAGATTTATAGTACCAGGCATCTGTTTCCTCATGTGGTCTTAAATCCAATCAGAAAGAGATTGGTTACCCCCATAACATTCATGCCACTATTGCACCCATGAACATATCTTGCCATGTCAGTCACTATTGTAGTTCAAAGGGTTAAGGCCCCTCACCCCCAGAAGCCCATGTAGTACCTTCTATTATTATTACAGCTAGCTAGCTTCCTGTTCAGTACCAACTTGATTTCTCCACATCCTGTGATGAAAATATGTGATGTCTTCAGCAATAGGGTCTTGCCATCAAGTTCTGGTGGGCAACCAAGAGGAATGGCAACAGCCTATATTATTTAAGGGGGTCTCTGGGGTACCGCTGATCAACAACTCAAGGGGAGGTATCCCACACCTGGCACTGGACTTTTTATTTGTCAACCAATGACTTCAGGGAGGAGCATTATCCTCTGTTTAGAGAAACTCTGATTGAACAATATATGAAGCTTATAAAATAGTAGGTTTCTGGGGGCTGGAGAGATGCCTCAGTGGTTAAGAACAATGGTTGTTCTTGCAGAAGACCCAAGTTTGAATCCCAGCAGCCACATGGCAGTTAACTGTCCATAACTTCAGTTCCAGGGGATTCAATGGCCTCTTCTGTCCTCCATGGGCATTGCACTACATGGGTGCACTTACCTACATGCAGGCAATACATGCATATGCCTAAAATAAAAATAATAAAATATTTTTAAAGTGGATTTCCATGTGGCCTTTCTACATCTTTATAGTTAGTTATCTATCCCTCCTCTCCACACCCTTTCTCAGCCTTCCCCTCCCCTCCCACCCCTCTTTCTAGTTGATCCTCCTTCCCCACAATTCCTCTTTCCCCTTCATATCACCTGTGTTAACCTCCCTTAAGCTCTTTCTTTCCTTTCCCCACCAATGGTTCCTTCCTAGGTTCCTGATTCTACAGATACTCCGAGTTAAGCACACAAATCTTAAGATTCAATGCTAAGTGAGGGAGAAGATGTGGCCTTTGTCTTTCTGGGTCTGGGTTACTTCACTTAGTACAATGCTTTCCAGTTCCATCCGTTTACCTGAAAATTTCCTAATTTCATTTTTCTTTATAGCCGAAAAGAATTCCTTTGTATACAGGTGACACGTTTTCATTATCCATTCATCAGTTGATGAACATCTAGTCTGTTTCCATTTTCTATCTATTGTGACTAGAACAGCAATGAATGTGGATGAGGCTATGTCTCTGTAGCAGGAGATGGAGTTCTTTGGGGTATATCCCCAAGAGTGGTATAACTGGGTCATATGGTAGTCCTATTTCTATTTTTTTGAGGAACCACCACACTGATTTCCATAGTGATTATAGCAGCTTGCACTTCCACCAACAATGATGCCACACTTTTAATTTTTATTTTTTGAAATGTGTTCAAGTTTGGACCTAGAAATGCCAAGCATTCAGACTAATCTTTAGTATTAGGTTAGAAAATGGATGAGGTGTTTCCCTCATAAGACTTGCAGGAATTTAATAGCTCTCTTTGCTATCTCAGTAGCAGACATTAAGAGCCTGGAAATCACAGCTCAAATAGACAAGTCCTTTGGCAAATATGTACCTAAGGAAGCTAATGCATCTTGGTAGACCAAGCCAGGAAAATAGACAAAAGTTCCCCCAAAGTGGGCTCTTGCTGAAAGAGGCACGTTAGAAGACAACAAAGATGTCAGAGTCAGGATGCCCACCACGGCAGGAGAGCACTAAAGATCACTTGGGTATTTCATAGATTACGCAGGGTCACCTGGAAGTAAAGGAATTTTGTGAGGTAGGTGGGGGTTCGGTGAAAGTATAGAACTTGGAATTGGAGAGCCAAGGTTACACTTGGTACTTCTGAGTGACTTTGGAAAATTTAGAAGTTGCAGGCCAGGCCTATAATCCCAGTTACTTGGGAGGATGAAGGAGGAGGATTACAAGTGCAAGGCCAGCCTGGGCAATTCAGCAAGATCCATTTCAAAGGAAAAGGAAAAGGAAGGCTGAGGATGTGGCTCCGTGGTAGAGGCTTGCCTAGCATGAGGCCCTGGGTGTAATCACACAGACACACATGCACACACACATACACACATGCACACGCATGCACACACACGCACACACACATGCACACACGCACACACATATGCACACACACGCACACACATGCGCACACATGCACACACATACACATGCACACACACGCACACACACATGTACACACACAGTTTAAAAGTTGTTTCAAAGTCCTTATTGTTGAAGGAGAATGATATATTTGATGCCTGCTTCCTGGGAATCGAGTGACAATGAAAGTGAATATGAAAAAATGCTTTGCACTTTGAAACTACAATTAGAGAGGTCTATTAGCCACCGAAATATTTTTTTTAATCAAGGGCTTTTATGTCTATTTAGATTTGATTCAATTTCTATGTTTAGATTCAAAATGTTATAATAGTAATATTTATCATGATAATAACAAAAAGTACTTCATATATAATAGCTCCTGTAACCCTCTTGACAACCCTATTAAGTAGTGGTTATCTATTAGTATCTGATAAGTAGCCCAGGAAATATGCATCCAGAGTCTGTGCCACTGACAGTATTTTTCTTTTTAGTATGTGTGAAGTTTCTTCTTTTGTGTTTTCTGATTACTTGGTTTGCTCTCAGCTCTTTTCAGCTAAAGTGATGGGCGATCCCTTTCTTGTGGAGGAAGTAGGACTGCTTGCACTCAAGTCTGCAGTGGATGAAGGACAGAAACAAGGCCAAGACTCCCGTGCACTGCTCCTGGACACATTTTCCAAGCTTCTGGAACTCCTGACTCTCCGCCACCGGCTGATAGGCATGAATGTGGAGAGTGCACACGTGGCCCGGTCAGTGGGGAGACCAGGAGCATCATGACAGGATGTGAACCCAGGGCTTACTGCCTGCAAACCTTGCCCCTCTGTCCCCCAGAGCAGCTGGAGTGAGTTTTCTAATGGGCTGAAGTGGTTCTTGCTCTTTTACTCCTCTCTCCTTCTAAGCCTCCCCATGAGCATAGTCCCCACATTTCTCCTTCATGAGATCCCACGATCTGCTGTCTTAAACTGTTTGTGTTGCTGTAACAGAATACCTGAGATGGCTAATTTATAAAGAATGGATATTTATTTCTAGTAGTTCTGAATGTTGAGAAGTTCAAGGTCAAGGGGTCCATATCTGGCAAGAACCTTCTGTTACATCAGCCCAACCACAGCAGACAGAAGGGCAACAGAGTACACCCCTGCTTATGCTCACAGGTCAAGTGAGGCGGGGAGGAGGAGAGGAGAAAGAGGAAGAAGTGGCAAGGGGAGGAAAGGAAAAAAAGAGAAAGGAGCTGATGTCCTTTTATCAGGAACCCACTTCCTCCATAACAGCAGAGCCCTCATGACCTCATCACCTCTTAAGGCTCACTGTCAACTACTCTTATATTGGGGATTGCATTTCCAACATATGGGACTGGGCATGGTGGCACACACCTTTAATCTCAGCACTGGGGAGGCAGAGGCAGAAGGATCACTGTGAGAGTCAGCCTGGTCTACGTAGTGAGTTCCAGGCCAGCTGAGGCTACAAGGAGATTCTGTGTCAAAAAAGAAAAAAAAAAAAATCAAACATTTCCAACATACAAACTTTGGGGCTATTCAAACCACAGCACCTGAGATGGAGCACTCTGGGAATATTGGTTGAATTTTCTCTTGCATACAATGAAGGCTAACTAGCAGAGGCCCTGGAGACAGGAGAGATGAGCCAGTGGCAGCATCCCAGTCTGAAGAGGAGCAGGGGTTCAGCAGGTCACAGAAGGGAAATGTTAATGCATTGTTTTAGTTGTAAGCACAAGGTGACACTAAGACTTCAGGTGGCCATTTTCCACAAGCAGGAAAAAAAAATGAGACTAGAGTGTTTGCATTAGGTATGAATGCTGTTTTGTTCTGGTTCTCCTGAGAGGCCTGGCTGACACAGACAGTCCAACTATCCACAAAACCATTATCAAGGACCTGCTGTGACTGGTTCTTTGCTGGGGCTTTAGGTGTATTATTTCATTGAATTCTTTTTTGGGGGGGTCTTTTTGAGACAGGGTCTTCCTGTAGCCCCAGCTGTCCTGGAACTCACTATGTAGACCAGGCTGGCCTTGAACTCACAGAGATCTACCTGCCTCTGCCTCCCGAGTGCTGGGATTAAAGGTGTGCGCCACCATGCCCAGCTTCATTGAATTCTTAAAGTATCCTTATGAGGTAGATACAAACATTTCATTAGCAAGGAAGCAGAGGCTCAGAAAAGTTAAGTAATTTCCCAAGGCCCTAAAATTAGAAAGTATAGAAGCAGAAGTTGAACTATTAGTCAAGATATTATTACCTCTCTGACATTGCCTCTCTACAATTTATGAGGCTCTTGGGGAAGTTAGAAAATTACCCATATGGGAGTGAAAATTACCCATAATATATTATAATAATGATATTCTTTTGAAAAGCAATGTTTTGGGAGCACAGGAAAGCAAGTATTTTATTCTTTTAAAGTAGGTCAGGGAAAGCGTCATAGGAGATGGTGCTGTGAAATCGTATTGGGTCCCTCCGAAATTCACATACTCAAGAACTAGTACTTCAGGATGGGCTCTTATCTGAAGCCAGGATCTTTTCAAGAGATAATCAAATTAAACTGAAGCTATTAGGTTGGGTCCTAATCCAATATGGCTATTGTGCTCATAAGAGGAGCTTTGACACAGATGTGCACAGGGGAGTAGACACCATCCATGAGCCAAGTCGAGAGGAACAGAACAGGTGTCTCCTTCACAGCCCTCAGAAGGACCCAACCCTTCCAACACTTTGATCTCAGAACTGAGAGACAGTGGATTTTTGTTGTGTAGGACATTGAACACTTTGCATATTTCTGTGGCACTTTGTGGCAACAGTCCCAGCATGCTGACACAGGTGCCAGCTAAACTCAGGATAAGAACAGATTTGGATCAGGGGTGTCAGAGCAGAAGGAGATGTGGCTGCTTAAGGGACATCTGAACAGAGTTGAATCGGGACAGGGTTGAGGATCACAGATTCTTACACAAGGAAGTGGTTCTAGGAACTGGGGATAGACTGCTCAAGGAGTGGATGCAGTAGGCAAAGAAAGAACCAGGGCCAGAACCCCAGGCAGCACCAGAACTTCAAGAGGAAGAGAAGTCAGTGAAGACTGAGAAACAAAGGTCATGTGGCAAGAGCACGCAGAGTGTGGGTCCAGGGGAACAGAGATGCTTGTAAGGGAGGGCCACCTTCAAAGAGCTCTGAGAGAAGACAGTGAACATTGCTCAGAGGGTCACATTGATAACTTCTTGAGGGCTCCAGACAGAAGTCAGCCTGCAGGAAGTGTGATTCAGGGAGGTACCCAAGTGCATCTCCTGCTCCAACTTTGTACTGCCTGTACCTGACCTAGAGAGCACAGGGCACAAGATCATTCTGGTTCATTCACCTCACACAATACTGGGCTTGCTCTGGTTTGGGTTTGTGTTTGAACTTATTCAAGTGTGTTGATTGTCTCCTGGCTTAATTACCTTTCAGGAAAAAACACTGACCAAGGTATCCTTGGCTTTTTTTCTTTTTAAGGCTGTATAAGCAATTGGCACAGGAAATGGGTTTTGAAGAGTTCCATTTGTATCTGAGGCCTGTTCCCTTTGAGTCTGCATCACACAAAGACAAGGTGGACCCACCCCCTCCTGTCTTCATAACATCTCTCCTAGAGGACAATGGTCGGGTAGACAGGTGAGCCTCAAGGAGGTAAAAATGCTACCATGGTACATGGTCAGTAACCAGTAAGAATGCTTCTGTTGGACATGCAAGTATCACTGAAACTCTAAATTCTCTTGTTTATAGTTTATTTACTATCATTCTGGGTTTTTCTCTTTTTTTCTGCTTTTTTAATATAAGGGAAAATAATATCTCAATCAAGGTCATACCTGAATATAAAAACACAAAATTAGTCTGGGCAAATGGCTCCATGGTTAAAGTGTTTACTGTGCAATCATGAGGACCCCAGAACTCACATAAATGCCAGGTAAGCTTGGTGACCCTGCCTATAATTTCAGCCTCAGAAGGTGGAGATGGGGATCCCCAGAGCCAGCTGATGTATGATGCCCTGTGTGCCCTGGTTGTTCTTGACTTCTACCCACTAGATGCCAGTCCCCCCTCCCCCACCTCTCTCCAACCTTCCTACCCCTTGGTTCTTCTTGATAATTGAAGATGTCTCCAGACATTGCCAAATAATTCCTTGGAGGCAAAATTTTCCCTGTTGTATCCTGCCACACTAGCTAAACAAAGACCAGAATTCAAAGGCAAGAAGTGTGAACAGGCCTTAAATTGAGGCCAGCTCACCAATGACACTAAAGGTCTGAAGCCAAACTCTAGTCTGGGCTTTTCAAGGGCCTCTGTTGGAACCAGTATTCTATACTTCTAGAAAGATGGAGCTAGAAGCCACTCATCAGCACAAGCTGCCCAAATGCTCTGTGGTCTGGTCAAGTGATCACTTGGCCTTCTCACCGATGCCAAGGAATGTGTCAAGGCAAAGGGAGCCTTGGGGTCGGGGGGAGTTTGTATGTCTAGGGAGCTTGCATATTGGCTTGGCCTTATGTATGTTAATTCTCTAAAGCTATTACTTTGGAGTGACGGTGTAAGAATAGCACTATTAAACATAAAGATGACGGCTTAACCTTAAAAAGCACTTTCATGCATAGCAATTTCACATTTACCATAATCCTACAATAGGTGATAGCCCCATTTACAGACAGGAAACAAAGATACTATATTACTTCACAGAAAGATGCACATGTCCCAAGGTAGAGACATGGTGCAAAGAATGTTTAGGTAAGTGTTGAACCACAAAAAAAGCAAGAATTAGGCACTACTTAGTGTTCAAAAGAGGGAATTAGTGGGGGATCCTGAACAGGTGTGGTCAAGCAAGTAAGATGAGAGGACTAATGAAGGGACAAGAATTTCCAACATTAGAGTCATCACCACAACCAAGTTCAAAGAGGATTGAAGACTGCCTGGGGCTGAAGTGCGGTCTTCGGTAAAACTTGCTATTACTACTGATGCTCCAGGTCTTGTTACCTACCATCTTGCCCCATTGGCATGGGTGTCCCTTGCCTGGCAGCACATTCCAACAGAGAGAATTTAATTTTCTTCTTGCAGATACTCTCCCACTGCCCTAGTCTTAGCCATTTCTGAGCTGGATGATAGCCACGTTGGCAAATTTAGTTTTTATACGAAAGAAGCCATTCTTAAGGTAAATTATTTCCTATATTTCTTTAGAAAAGCTAAAATTTTTAAAAGAAGCTAAAGTAAAACAAAGCAATTTGTTCCTGTGTTCTTTAAAAACATTCAACATTTAATTCTTATAAATTTGGCTTCCATTTAATAAGAAAAGTCTTCCTTCAGGTCTCACCTAGCATCACGGCACACATTTGTAATCTGGCACTGGGAAGATGGAGGCAGGAGGATCAGGAGTTCAAGGCCAACCTCAGCTACATGTTGAGTTTGAGTTTGAAGCCAGGCTGGGCTACATAAGACCTTTCTCAGCCTCAGCTATACATTGACACTGAATTTGGGGCCAGCCTGGGCTATATAAGACCTTGTCTCAAACAAAAGAAAACAAAAGAAAAAAACCTTGCTTTATTGCTGTGTACACTGGTCTAGCTTGAGCCAGAGTCTGCAGCCTCACACATAATAACTTGTGTTAGAGATGCATGCAGAGAACCAGCTCTGCATCTGGCTTTTAGAATATGTACTTATTATTGGAGCTTTTATCTTATCTTTAAAAAAAATAAACCTGGTGCTATTTTTTCCCATTGCACTTGAATTTGTTTGCTTTTTTCTGTGTATTTTTATGAGATGGATCTGGTCTTGGCTTTCAAGTGCCTTCTGCTGAGTCCATGTAGTTCATCAGAGCCTACCCTTCCTTCCCTAACTGTAGAAGAAACCTCATGTCCAACTACACAGCAGGTCAGACCTGGAGGCTGCCTGCCTGGGTTGAAATGCTGCTTGTGGGAGACCAGATTCAGTCTGAGCTCTGAGTAACAAGAATCCCAGTGCATCCTAGGGTTAAAGTCCTAAATGTTTTTACATGTTGAATGATGATCTTGACTATCAACTTCACCTGTCTCTCTATGGTAGCAATCCCTAATGCTTTACACATTTTCTTCCTTTAGCTTTTACGCCAATCAGGAGTGGAAAATATGCAAGTGACCCTCGCATGCCAAGCTGTTCAGAAAAATGCTTTGATAGTGGCTGTTCAACAGGCGTCCTTCTATCACACCCCTCGAGTGGACTGTCCAGCTGATGTCAAGGTCAGCCTGTATGATGGAGGAGCAAGAGGCAGGTTCACACTGCCAGCTGCTAATGACAGGCTGCCCCGCTTCTTCCCTCCCTCTCCCTCCCCCTCCTTCTTGCTCCCTCCTCCTTTTCTCCCTTCTTTGCTTCTTTCTCCCCCTCTTTTTTTGTCCCTTCCTCTTTGCCCACCCCCTTCTTCCTCTTTCCTATTTGTACAGGAAAAAAACAGAAAAGAATTTCTGGACAGAAAGGGTATGATCCAGTTCTATCAGATTACATGAGGATATTACTAGGTGAAGATTTCTTCTCGGATCATGACTTCTCAAAGGACAGGATTCCATCAAGCTACATAGATAAACAGAAGTTTATTTAACATAGAAAGCAGACGGTAGTATCCTCCAGAGAGCAATTGGATCAGCCTGTCCTAAAGAGTTGGGGGAGGAGTAGCAGCCCATGGAGTTTTGTGTTTTGGGCTTTTAAAAAAGTTTTTATGGAAGTGTGCCACAAAAAAATGTTTTTAAAAAAGAAATTTTTATGAGTATTTATTATGTGGGTAGCATATTCATGAGGTAAAGTAGCCCTTTCCCCTCCTAAATCATAGTTTACTTCATCTTCCTTTCAGGGTGGTCTCATGATCTTCTTGAAGAGCTCACGGTGAGGAGGGGACATCAAAATCCTAATGCAAATGACTTTTTTAGGTTTATTTTTCTTAAAGATCTTTTATTTTTAAGTATGTATATATATGTGTGTGTATCTGTTCGTGTGAGTGTGGGTGCCTGCAGAGGCCAGAAGAAGGCATCAGATCTCTTGGAACTGGAGTTATAGGTGGTTGAGAGTCAACTGACATGGGTACTGGGAACTGAACTCAGATCCTCTGCAAAAGCACTATGTGCTTTTAACTGCTGAGCCATCTCTCCAGCCCTATTTATTATTTGTTTGTTTGTTTGTTTATTTATTTATTTATTTAATATGTGTAAGTGCAGCCAGTCATGCAGTGCCTGCAGAGACCAGAAGAGGGTGTCAGATCCCTTGGAACTGAAGTTATGGATGGTTGCTAGCTGCCATGTGGGTGGTGGGAACCAAACCTGGGTCCTCCACAAGGGCAGCCAATACTCTTAACACTGAGTCATCAGTGTCCCCCAAATGATTCTCTAATGAAGTTCAGGTAGAGGATGCCGACGGTCCATTAGCACACAGGTGGCAGCTGGAAAATTGCCCTGGAGCCTGCGTTTCTCATGCAGCAGGAAGGGCCTGAGCTTAAGCTTCGAGAACATTTAACTGCAAAGGGGTATCCGAGCATCAGAAGACACAGCCACCTAAGACAGCTGCTGCTTCTTAGTCCCCCCATCTAGCTCTCTGTCTAGCCATCTGGACAGAGACTAAGGCATGGCTTCTGTTTTTGTTTACTTCATATCTCTCTCCTTGCCTACACAGTTTTAGGAAGACCCAGCATCCCTTCCTCATGGGCCTGGGGCAAGCCCTTCTGCTTTGGAGGTCATATCTTCTCTTAGAAAAGGTAGATCAGAGTATTTAAGATCAGGGTTTCTTTGATCTTCCCTGGGGAAAGAAATTCCAGTTTCCATGGCCTGCTTCTTGGATAAAACGGAGCAGGTGAAAGGCCAGGAAAAGGTGAGGTAGAGTGAAGAGAGTGACAGCTTTCTGAGTCTATTTCTGAGGCTTAAACACCTCAATGGTGTTCTAGTCACTTAGAAAATAATAAGGATTTATGGGCATTATGAGTCAAAAACCATGGAGCAGTATGAAAATATACATCATATCCAGTTTTCCTTTTATCTTCCTCCCTCTTCCCCACCTTACTCTCTTTGCTATTTGTTAATCAGTGGATGACCAAACTCTTACTAATGATTGTTTTCAGTGATGTACTAATACCTTTTTTTTCATTAAAAATATTTACTCTAATAAATTGTTGACTGGCTATAATCATCCAGGAGAAAATGTCCCACTTTTCAACCCTTTGTAGTTAAATGATTCCATTGTTTTATGGTTTATCCTTCTTACAGTTCTTTTTGTAAATATAGGAAGACACATTTGAGCCTTCCTTTTAAAAACATTCGTGTGCGTGTGTGTGTGTGTGTGTGTGTGTGTGTGTGTGTGTGTGTAGGAGTGCACATGCCACTGGTCACATATGGAGGTCAGAGGATAACTTGTAGGTAGGGGTCAGTTTGCTACCTTCCACTGGAATTTAATCACTCTAAGGATTGAATTCAAGCTTGGTAGCAAATGCCTTTTACCTGCTGACCCATCTTGCTGACCCTTGATCCTTCTTTTTACCACAAAACTACTCTACTGTATATACTCTCTTTTCCTCTCTTTTTTTAGTTGTTGAGATATAATTCATAGAACATAAAATTACTCCTTTAAAGTATCTAATTCAGGTGCTCAAGAGATGGCTCAGTGATGGGAGCACTCACTGCTATTCTAGAGAACCCAAGTTCGGTTTCCAGAACTCATACCAAGCAACTCACAACCACCCATAACTCCAGCTCCAAGGGATCCAATCCCCCCTTTTCTACTTCTGCAGACACCCTACACACATAACAGATACACTGTTACACAGAAATAAAAACTACAAATAAAAATTTCAGAAGTGTCTAATTCAGTGGTTTTTAAAATATTCATAGGACCGTGTATCCATCACCAAAATAACTGTATCACTCTGCAGAGAAACCCTGTACCATTAGCAGTCACTCCCATTGCCCCTCCCCCCACTCCCTGGCAACCACTATTCTAACTTTCCAGACTTACCTATTTCTACCTTTCACATGAGTGCAGTCACACATGTGGCCTTTTGTGTGGACTTTTTCACTTAGCACATTTTCAAAGTTTTCCGTGTTGTAGCATCTATCGGTACATCGTTCCTTTCTATTGCTGAATGATGTTCTGCCATATGGATACACTGCATTTTGTTTTTCCATTCATCATTGGGTTGTCTTTACTTTGACTATCAGGAATAATTCTGCCGTGAACTTACACAATGTGTACAGAGCAATCATGCCCCAGTGATTGCTGCCTCATTGGGCTACGGCCCAATATCTTTGGCTAGGTATGCAAGATCTTCCCTATTTGACCCAAAGCCTCTAATCTTCCACTTTCTCTGAACTCTGTGTTAAGAGCCTTAAGCATTGTGTGCATACTTGTGTCTCCATGTATCTGCTCATGTTTCCCCAGAATATTTTATCCTGACTCTACCACATCCCACTCCTCCTCACACCTCGTCTTTTGTCTAGAGAATGTTACTGTTACTCCAAGACCCAACTCAGTTATTACACCTTTCAGAAAACACCTAGTCCTCCTCTATCTCTACTAAAGTGAATTTATGACTGCTTCTTCATAAAATGTACATATGTATACACACTTATAAATAATCACAACAGTGGAAAAGGAAGGGGGTCTCAAGACATGACCAAGAATCAGAACAAGGGGACAAGTGTGAGAAAGAAAGAAGGAAAGAGACACGACAGAGAACTAAAGTTTGCGTTGCCACAGAACTCACAGGGAGGGAGGGTTTCATGAAGTAACGAGTCACCAAAAGTACAGACCGGCAAATGAACAGTGAAAAGTTGTTCAACATCAGTAGTTAGTAGGGAAAAGTAAACTAAAACCCCATTGAGAAACTGTTCCACACCTATTATAATGGTTACAATTTAAAATACTGGGACTGGGAGGTAGTTCAGGAGTTAGGAGCACTTGCTGTTCTTCCAGAAACTGGGTTCGATTCCCAGCACCCACATGGAGGCACTATTGCTCTCTTCTGGTCTTCATGGGCGCTGCACACGTACCAGTAAACATACCAGCAATCAAAACATTTGCACAAATATAAATAAATCATTTAAAAAATTGAAAAGACTGACCATTCCCAAAATTGACAAGGACGTAGAAGATCTGAAAGTCTTTACATTGCTGGTTGGAATGCAAAATGATACAACAACTTTGGAAAACAGTTTAGCAACTTAAAAAGTTAAACATGTGCCTACCATATGAACTAGCCATTCAACTTCTAGGTGCTTAAGGAAGAGAAATAAAGTTGGGGCCATACAGTAACTTGTACATGAATGCCCATAGTAGTTGTATTCATGATAATCAAGAACTGGAAAGACTTCAAACGTCCATCCAAATAGGCAAGGAGATAAACAAATTTTGCTATAGCCCTATGATGGGATACCACACAGCAGTACAGAGAAATAAAGTATTGATATCCACGACAATTTAAATGAAGCCAGCTAAAAAGAGCACATTTTGTAAGACCCTGTAAAATTCTAAAACACCCAGCCTATAATTGCAGAAAGCAGAGCAGTTAGATGTGGTGATGGTTTCACAGGTAAGTACAGAAAAATACATATCAGAACTTATCTGATTCTGTACTTTAAATGTAAGATGTTTATTAAATGTCAAATATTCCTCAATAAAGCTACTGTTAGGAGAGAAAAAGAATTTGATAGCACTGAATGAAGAGGGGAAAAATCCCAGAGAGGGAAGGATTACAATGAGACTATAGACATTCACAGAGCTTCCCTGCTGACTACTCCCTAGGTCAGAGTGAAGGGGCAAGATGCAGCTGGGCTGGAAGAACAGGAGGGATGTGTATTTATTGTTCTTGCATTAGTCTGCTAGGGCTAGCACCACAACACAATGCCAGAGTCGGTGTTTAAATAGAAGAAATTTATCTTCTCACAGAACTAGAGGCTAGATCTCTGAGATAGGTGTCAGCTTGGTGGGTTTCTGGTGAAGACTCTCCTGGCTTGTAGATGGAGGCCTTCTGCCTTCATTCCTCACGTTAAGAAGTGAAGAGGGTGGAGAAAGCAAGCCACAAGAGCTCTGGTGTCTCTTTTTTCCAGAACCATAACCTCATGTGTTAGGATTATATTTTTGCACTCTAGAATTTGGTGTCTCTTTTATGTGAACCAGCCCACTTGGATTAAGTCCTTACTTTTACAACATCATTTAACCTTTGTCACTTCCCAAAGGCCCCATCATCATACTGTATGGTAGATTTCTAGGGGAATACACAAACATTCAGTCTGTTCGCCATCTTTAAGAAGTCAGGTCATCGGCAAGGAATGGTGACCCACACCTAATCCTAACACTTGGGAGTTGGGGCAGGAAGATCAGGAGTTGAAAGTCATGCTCTGCTACATAGTGAGTTTGAGGCCAGCCTGGGCTACATAAGACTCTCAAAAAAAAAAACAAAAAAAACAAAAAAAACCCAAACCAACAAATTTAGATTAGAAATGAGGAAGAAACTTGAGAGTGTAGGAGGATTGTGGCAATAAGTGTCAGCCCCAGTATCCAGCTCAGGGCCCGTGTTTGCTTCCCTCTCACTCTATTCATGGTCTTATAAGATGACTCACTCCTTTGAACTACTAAACACTCCCATTTCCAGCATCCTAGGATGCCCCAGGGGTCTTCAGAATAAAAATTAGTTTGAAAACTTCAGATTTACTCCCCACCCTGGAATTTTCTTTCATCTTCACCTTAATTTCCATATGGATATCTCATTGTTTATTTAATTAAAGACAGCCTTTTTCTCTCAGTTAGTAATTGATAAAAAAATAAAAATTTTATGTCTTATAGGGTTTATACTGAGTGCAATATTGTATAGCTGTAATAATTCAACTGTAAACCTAAAGATATACAGCCAATTTTGTAAGAGATGCATCTTAGCTCAGAAAATTGTTATTGAATATGTCAATGCTGTTGTAATGAAATGCTTCTTCTGCGTATGTGGTTATTAAATAAATAATTAAAAAAAAAACATAAAACACTTCTACCCACCATGCTCTATAATGAATAAGATTGGGCTCTTAGAGGCTAGTGCTTTCCTACTTCCTTCCCCTTCCCCCACCCTCCCTCAGTCCCCTCCTTCTCCTGCCCACCTTCACTCCTGCTTTCCCTCTCTTTATCATTACATTGACAAAGGCAACATACATAGTCCACTTTCCTCTGCTTGGGGATCCAGAGGAGCTTTTCCAGATCTTATAACTGTGAACTCCATTAGCTGTTCCACATAGAAAATGTTACTCAACCAGTCTGTAAAATGGAGAATTCTTCTCTGAGCACTTTAGATAACTACTATATTCTGGAAATAGCCATACTTTGTGCCTCCCCGCTTCACTGTGCAAAGTGGTGTCTCTCTTCCTGCTCCCACTTCCCCTTTACTTCCCCTTCCCGTTCTTTTCTCTTCTTTCCAGTCTTCTCCTCCCATTACATATGTGTAGGATCAGCTGTGTGCTGCTAGCACTACAGGACCCATACATCCAACAAACTGAATTAACTTTAGTTTCAAATGCCTTAGGAAACAAGAAGTTCAGATCTGAGGAATCATGGTGGAGTGAGTCCAACCAGAAGAGATTCCAGAACTCCGCCTGGCACAGAGAGCTTGCTGTCCCCCTCACCTTCCAAAGTCCCTGGCACCCTTATCCATTCTTCAGCAAGAGTTCAAACTGCAAAAAGGTAGTGTATCTAGTGGGAGGATATTCGAGTCAATCCAAAATAGAGTGACTGGTGTGTGCTTTACTCTCTTAAGATCTCATAAGAAGATCCTATATGAACACGCCTTCTGATCTGTGAAGTCAGCTGTTCCGGATTCCGTCCTTCCCTCCCTTCCTCTCCTTTCTTCTCTTTGATTTTTCTTTCTTTCTTTCACTCATGCTTCTTTCTCTGTATATTTTTCAAAGTGTTCTTCACATGCAGGAATAGTATAGGCTGCTCCAAATTTTCCATAATCACCTTAAAGAAACACAGAATTATTTTCACTATTCTAACAAAGATTTTACCATTGTTCAGAATGATAGGATGGTGAGTTCTCAGACAGGCATGGTCTTCACAGATGTATGTCTACTTTCAAGGATACCCTATTACGTCATGATATCTTTCCACCACATCAGAGAAAGATTTTTTTTTTAATTTATTTTTTTAAATTTAATTTATTTTTTAAAATTTTATGTGTATTCATGTATTGCCTGCATGTAGGTAAGTGCACCCAGGTCGTGCAATGCCCACGGAGGTCAGAAGATTCTGTTGGATCCCCTGGGAGTGGAGTTACGGACAGTTGTTAGCTGCCATGTGCGTGCTGGGATTCGAACCTGAGTCTTCTGAAAGAACAACCAGTGTTCTTAACTGCTGAGCCATCTCTCCAGCAAGAAAGAGATCTTTTTATTCTCGAATAATTACGACCACTCTCAGTATTTTATGGAGGACATACCAAGGGCACTCTAATATAATTTGGAAAATCTAGAATGAAAAACAGTAACAGGCAAAGCAACTCTTCTATCGAAGATGCCATTAATCTGACACATGGCCAGAGGTCAGGTACCTTCTGACTACATTCCCAGTGTGGTTGAAGAGCTAAGATTAGCGTTTTTAGTTGAAAGACCCTTCAGTTCAGGTATCTTGATGGCTAAGACAAGGAGCCATACTGAACCAGGCTATGATGTCTGGAGAGGGACTGCTGACACATTTTAGGCACAATGAAGTCTCCAAGGAGCATGGTGGCAGATGAGCAAACAGAAGCACTTGAGCAGGTGAGACCCAGGGAGGCAGAGCCACTACCCTGCCGCTCCAGCACCCAGCATGTGAGTTAGCAGCATGCTCCACATCCACCTCCCTCCCTCCTCAGTTCAGTTGTCTCTCTTCACTTGTCAGGGCTCCAGAGGCCTTTGTATCTATTCAACTAGAAAAGGCAAGGTTGCGGGACATGATGTTGAACGCCTTCCTCCTCAAAAAACAGACCATTGCTGACAGAACGAAGAGCTCTGTGAGTGTTTGGGAAAAAGGGCTTCCTACAGCTCTCATTTGCTTTTATATTTGAGCAAATAAAATTTCTGAGCTTGAAGTTTTTTGCTTTCAATCATTTGGGTAGGATTATTGGAAATATATATTTAGAACTGAAAAATGGAGCTCAATTAGAAAAAGAATCAATTCATACAGATTAGTCTGGTTTTAAAAAATTTGTGTTCTCAAGGCTGTATTTTGTCATGTCACTTTCTAAATGGACCAGTCTAAGTACCTACTTTGGGGCATTTGCTACTCCTGAGTGACCCACAGGGGTTCAGGTGGTTTAGGCAGGGTTGGCAAGGTGGGCAGATGGTCACCTGTTACCTTTATTTATCAGATGCTAATGATGTGTTCCAGTTTAAGATTTTTTTTATATAAGCCAAGTCAGTAAGAAAATATTACAAAGTTCAAACCATCATTTCTTAATTTTGTGAAGTGTTTCATTATTCACTATTTTTATGAAGAAATTATTATGCTAATGCATAGTTATCTGGAAGGAAAAATGATAAGGTTCATCATCTCTAGGCTTTGTTCCTATCCCTGATTGAAAAAGGACTTAGGTTTGCTTACTCTGGTTATGTAAATGGAATATAATGGTGGTCAGATATTCTGTTTACTAATGAGTAATGATAGAAGCAAAGAGTGTCAGTCCCCCCCACCCCCAAACAAGCAACTCTCTAAAACTAGTGACCATGTGAAAATACAAGCTCCTTAACTGACCTTCAGGAGTATTCAACACCTACCAGATCAGAAAGAGCTCAGGCAATAAATACAGTGATCAGTTTTGTCAGCTTTGGGATTTTAGCCTACTTACACGTTAATAAGTTTACTTCTTACTAGTACATGGAAGATATGAGACTCAGATCAGAGACAGCTTGTTCTTCACAGCAGAGCAGGCAGCGTGAGTGTCATGTTTTTGTCAGTTCCCTTTGCCTCCCAAGTCTCACAGAGAGTGTGGAAGAATCTACATGTACCCAGTGGATTTCTGTAACAGTCAGAAAGCATGGAGCTTGGAGAGCATACCTCTTTAATATCAAGAATGCCCTTTTCCATAGAGGAGGACATTACCTTAACTCCAAGGATTGTTCTCTGCAAACACAGCCCTGAAAATGGTCCAGGTGAAAAGTAGTCAGGGTCTGACATTCTTGGTATAATCAGTAAGATGTGTGAGAATAGAAGAGACCCACATAAGAGTCTCCCAACAAGTTTACCCTCTGAAAGAATGTCTCAAGTCTATGGCCTTTTCGTGCTTGAACTTGGCCATGTATTTGTTCATATGTCATAAGATGACTAGCTACAGTCGACTGTCTTACAGAATAAATATTATTTTCTTTTATCACAGGAGGACATTGGAAAAGTCAAGAGGGAGGTGATTGTTGAATATTGTCAAAAGTAAGTATAGTTTGTGTGAACAGCATATGTTGGATTCTCTGACTGAATGTAATTATTAGTAATATTGCATAGAAATCCAGATAATGAGTCTGGTGGTTTGTGTTTAAATAAACCACAGGCCTACTAAACAGAACCAAGTTATCATCTCTCATGTCGGGGAGCATCAGAAGTGAGGACAGGAGGCACTTTGAAGAAGAGGTCCATGCCTCTTCCTTCAGACCATGCCAACCTCACCCACACGGAAATTCCTTTTTGAAAAGTCCCCCAGGGAAGTAGATCCTGGAACTTCTTTGAAAGGTAGAAGAACATGAATTATTCTTTAGGACATCATCTCCTTCGACTTCCAGGTTGAATTGCCAGATGTCTCACTATGCCCTTCGGGGTCAGATCATGGCGTACTGCAATAGCCTGACAGCCCTGCTGGCAGACTTTCCTACCATCAAGGATACTTTTTTCATGGTGGGACAACCACAGGAGAAGAAGGGCTTGAAGGGCTCCAAAGAGGACCTAAAGGCTGATCCCAGGTATGTAAGGTCTGCTAGAGCTTGTGTCTCTACTTCCCAGGTCCTCCCTCTCCCAGAGAGGCATGCTAAGTGCTGAAGCTCTTGTTGCTAAAGTGTCCCCCATGGTCCAGGGACAGAGACTCTGTGCGAATACCTGTAAGAGTTGGGACCTAGTGAGAGGGTTTTAGGTGATTAAGGGTATATCCTTGAATGGGGATTGTGAGGTGCTGGTCTCCTTTTCTTCTTTCTCTTTGCTTTTCAGTCGCAACCCTTTACATAAGCCATGAAAGAAAGTTTTGCTGTGCCGGGTACTATGATCGTGACGCACTGCCTCACCTAAAGCAGCGAGGCCAACTAAGCATAAACTGAAACCCTTACAATTTTGAGGCAAAATAAACATTTTCTCTTTATTAACTGATTACTTTGGGTATTTATTGTAGTAACAGAAAACTGACAAATACACTTGCTGCCTTTATTTTCTGTGATTTTGACTTTCTGGACTGAAAGGTCAAAAGAAAACATTAACAGTCCAAGAATAAGAGCATCTTTGTATTTGACCCCAGAAGGAGCTCTTTGTTTATGGGCTGTGTGACTCCGTGACTGCCTTTTCAATCAATGCACTTTTATTTTCCCCTGGGGAGGTCAAAGATTTTCATCAGTCACAACCCTTTACATAAGCTAATGTCTAAAATAAGCAAGCAAACAAGGAAATGTGCTTTTGAGCTGTCCTAGTTTCAAATATTCTATTCAATGGAGAAGAAATAGTCAGAAAAATAATAATTAACCAGTGCTGTGGGTAAAGTAGTGGCCCAACTTTTTCTAACAGTATACCCAGAGATAGAATGATAAGATAGGAGCGTTTCCACACTGCCTTATCATGCTACATATAGATTTCCAATGTACCTAACCCAGCCTACCTAGAGCTCACCCACCCGGATGGAGGAGTTAGCAACCTGTACTAACCACACTACCTTAAAAGTGGAGAACAGGAGCATGTGTTACATGGTTATGCAGCCTCCAAGGAGGAGCAAAAACACCCTGTTCACCTGTGGGGTGAACTGTTCTCATTTCCTTTATAGCATGGAGTTTGAGTAACAGTAGTGAAATATGATCACAGACCTGAGAGATGAAAGGAATTTACAGATCGTGTGCATTGGGCCGCACTTCCGCTCATTCATTCATGCATGCATGCACTGGCAACCATCATTTGTTCAGTGCTTACTTAGTTCCACTCATTTTTTGGCATGTCAGAGGTACAAAGGCCCTGGGGGAAAGCTCTATAATCGAACAAGGAACTTCAGAGATAATGTTAGAGGTATTTTTCAAGATACAAAGCAGGGGCTATTTAACTCTACCCCAGGGCCTCAGGGAAGAATTCAAAAGACAGGTAAGAAGAAAGTGCAGTTTATGAAATAAGTGGAATAGTCCACGAAGACCAGAGAAGGAAAGAAGCTGAAGACCTTCAGCCCTTGGGACTGACGGTGGCCAGTCTGGCCTTGATGCGTACACAGGATCTCCGTTAGTGGACACCGGTGCTCTTGCTTTTGAGCTCAGCCAGTGCTTCCCTTTGAGTAGACTTCAGGGCTTGCCTAAGGTTAGGGTGCACTTAGGAGAAGAATGGCAAAAATATCTCAGTAGACTATTTTGTAGAAAGATTTAACTGGGCACCTGCAGGTCAGAAAAGCTAAAATGTGTTTTTCTTTCATGTAAAACATTACAGGTGAATCCTCTAAGATTTGTTTAATTTCATTAGTTTCTCACCCTCTAGCCAAGCTGACCAATCCACATTTGGGATCAAACTTTAAAAATTCTTCCAGAAGCCTAACCATGAGTTCACTACATTTCTGTTTAGTATGGAATGTATTCAGGAAGTCTGTTTTTGTTTGATATGTTTAGTTTCCAGCAACCAAATAAGGAGGATGTGAAGAGGAGAGGATCTCTGCAGCTTGCAGATCTCATTCGGTTCTTTCTGATTTCTTGTCGATGGCTGGGTGTCCTAAGGAGTAAGGCAAGCAGGCATTTGATGGAGAGCCTTGGCTCCTGAGTAGACTAGTCAGTTAAAGTATAATGATTTTAGGCAGAGTCTTGGGCCAGAAAGTGAGAATAAAGAGGCCAAATGGTCGTGAATAGTGACTGTGGACGATTTGTGCTTCTCCACAACCTTCATGTCCTGCTTCCTAAACCATCTAGATATTAATATGTCTCTTTTAGTACACTCACTTGTAGGTGTATAAAGGAATTTCTGTTACATGGAAGTTCGAGGAAAAGACCGCCTAAGAGTCTTTTCTAACTCCAGAGTCTGTGGTTCTCTGCACTAATAGGAACAGTATCGTATGTGATTATAACAAAGCATCAGAAACCGGCTAATTTATTTATTTATTTTTTGATGAAAAGGTTTATGTAGCTTAATCTTGGAAGTTCAAGGGCAAAATTACAGCATTAGCTTAGTTCTGGAGAGGACCCTTTCACCCAATCCCATCAGAGTGGGAGTGAATATGTGAGGGAGAAATCACATCGAAAAATCAGGAAAGTGGGCTGGAGACACGGCTCAGTGCTTAAGAGCACTGGTTGCTTTTCTAGAGGACCCAGATTTGGTTCCAAGAACCAACTAACAACTGTATGGCTAACAACTGTCCGTAACTCCAGCTCCAGAGGATCTGATGCCCTCTTCTGACTTCTGGGGTCATTTGCGCTCACATTTGTAGCCTACCACTCCCCCCATCCCCCACCCATACACATAATAAAAATAAAAATGAACCTTAAAAAAATTCAGGAAAGCAGAACTGGTAGGTGGAGGCAGGAAGGTCAGGCATTCAGAGTCATCCTTGGCTACACAGAAAGTTTAACACCAGCCTGGAGTATGAGATTTTATCACAACATCTATCCCCCAGAAAAATATAGTAAAAAAAATAAAAATAATTTTAAAAATCAATAAGACAGAGAGATACTGGGATCCAACAATCTGGTCTAAGAGCACATCACCAACTGACCTATGGACAGGCCTGCAGGCTTCACCTCTAAAAAGTCCCCCGACCTTCCAGTAACTCCCCCTAGGGACCAGCCTCTAATTAATGAACACTTTGGTGAAGGGGACATATTTAAACTCAACCCAAGCCATAGCCATCAGCCACACAAAAATTCGGTGTGGAGTCATGGCCTGGGTTTTTGTGTTTTGTTTTGTTTTGTTTGTTTTTCTAACCCCACCTCAGTCACATGTTGCCCTGAGGTCTTAGGAAAGTCACTTATCTTCAGTCTTTGAACTTCAGTCTTTTTGCAGGAGTGAGAACAGTGAAGCAACTGTCTGAGGTTAAATATGTTGCAATTCTCAGTGCTTAGTTATCAGAACATGACTACAAGAAGTAGAATTGCTGAGGAAGGGCTTTCTGGAAAGAGGCCATTCCTGTGACTACTTGTGAAATGTTAAATGGGAACCACCACAGGCAAAGCTAACGAGAGCAAATGGGGCAGGGTTGAATAAGGAGGGCCATGGAGGAAAGAAATCCTTATTCATTTATAAAATAAGGGGTTGAACTACATTGGAGATAAGAGATAAACTTATTTTAAATGTCAGTTCTAATAATTTATTAGTGGCCCTGATGAGGATTCTGAGATTTTTTAAAAAATATTTTGTTTATTATTTTTATTTTACATGTATGAGTGTATTACCTGCATGTAAGTGAGTGCACCCATGTCGTGCCCAGAGGTCAGAAGAGGGCTTCGATTCTCTTGGGACTCGAGTTAAAGAGAGTTTGTGGCCGCCATGTGGGTGCTGGGAATTGAACCCAGGTCCTCTGTAAGACCAGTCAGTGCTCTTAATCGCTGAGCCATCTCTCCAACCCGGATTCTGAGATATTTCGTCTGTTAAAGTATGGTAATTGATTGGCAATGTCTGCCACGGCCAAGTTGTATGGGTTCATAATTCAAAGATGCAACTTAATCCTTAAAAGGCTCTCGTGTGCTGTGGTAAAGCAGAATCCTCCCAAAGCCGAGTCACTGCTAGCGAGGAGCTAAAGGGAGTTCTCCTCCCATGAAGTTTCTTGAGTCTTCTGTTCCCTTCACGGTTCCAGAAGTGACTGGAGTCTGAAGACTAGAATGTCAGTCAACTGCACTTTGAGGAGCAAGTGGCAAAGGGTGGTGGTGGAGCAAAGACAGTAGAGAGAGGGGGCACTGTTGACTGAACACTTACTATGTGACAAACAGAGCCACTGTCATCCCACACAGCTACTTTGTGCAAATTACAAGAAGGCTCTTTCTTCTGGTGGGTGTGGCAAGAAAAGCAGAGGCTGGATCCTGACCACTGCTGGTTGCCTCAGGGCATAACCTGAACAACACACAGAAGTCTTGGTACCAAGAGCTATACAACAATGAAATAGACATGACCCTAACCCAGCAAGGGGAAATGGATAACAACACACTGTGATATGGAGCAAAATAAAATAAATGTTTAATAAACATCCCCATCAAGAAATGCTCATCAAAGATTGGGGAGATAGGGGTAGGAGCAAGGCCTCAGGAAAGAGCAGATGCTTACTCTGGGTCTTGAGTGATGACTAATGCTCTCGGAGGTCAAATAAAGGAAATTCAGTTCAAGCTGGTAGATCTGAATGTGCAAAGTCACAAGGATGTATGGTGCCAGGTGGACTTCTGCCTTGCCTGTGTCCAGAGCAGGTGAGGGCACAGTGAGATACACAGAGGAATGGGCAAGATCCAGAAATCTGCTACCTTCTGGGAGTCCTGTGTTTCTGCCTCTGATCTTGCTGGGATACTGCAATTGCACATGTGTACCACTGCATCTTTCTTTCCCCTCCCCTCCCCCC